AAAAAAAAAAAAAAAAAAAAAAAAAAAAAAGCCAGAAATAAAATGCAAGAGAAAAAATTGTGATAAAAACATGCAAATTGGCATTTTTGTTGCAAAACTTTTTCGACGTCTTATATATTGATTGGCAAATTTTAACGGACTGTTAACTTCCTGATTAAAATTTGCTCATTGATATATAAGAATCCCAAAACCTTTAAATAAGTCGTTAACGGAACACCACTTTTTAGAATTGATCACAAAAGAAAGTTGTTACTCCATTGTTATTTTTAACTATCCAACCTATTTAAGCATTTATTCGTCTATGATTCGCCCTTTCAGCAGCTAATTACAACAGTACATTTTCTATTTTGACTAAACAACCCTTCCACGATTCTTAGAAAAAAAAAAGCCAAAAAACAGGAACCTTGTCACTCATCTCCGCACTGGGCCATTAGAGGCGAGGAAGTCAGTCATCCAGACCACTGGTTGCGTGTACCAGATCGCAGATCTCACTGACTCTGCACCACAAAGCAGTACCATTATTCTCTTACATGTCCTAAACTTAGCTCAAAGTTCTATTCAAGCTGCTTTCTGCTTAATCTTACACAAATTTAGAAATACCACTTCTCCCGACCGTGTGTCCAATAACGATACCTAGCAATGTACGGTAGCACAACCACAGTCGTTATATGTTGCATATTTATTCTGGCCTTAAACTAAAATAACTACAGATTCTTTACAACATTCGAACGCTACAGAAAGGTTAACAAGGAAAAAACTTGAATTGAGAATCAGACTGAACGACCTACTTCTTTGTATTTTATTGAAGTTAATTTTTGCCCAGAAATACCGAATATTATACGAGAATTACAGCTTTTGAGAGTAACTTTCTTCTCCCCTACGTAGAATGAAATTAGACAGCACTTTAGTTCTATGATTGGCTCAACAAAGAAGTGAGAAATTCTAATCAGTTTATATAAACCAAAGAAACACCATTAGAAGACTATAGCGCATACTGACGAAGAAATTTGTTTCCTCTTCCTTTGCGGATCTAAATGGAGATTGCTGCACGTAGAAGCAAGGAAAGTCAAAAAAAAAAGCATTGGAGTAACTAACTAACAACTTTCAATACTAAAAAACTACTGGAAACAAGCAGTGAAGCTTTAAAGACTGCGTCATAAATGCCACTTTCAGCATCTAAACGTCTTAAAGCAAGGACAACGTCGGCCTCATATCCAAAGAGGATGTTAGTCCATCCAACAACCACATACCGCCCCCTTGAAGACCAGTTTGGGCTGGAACACACAAAGCTCCAGCCACCAAGAACAACTCGAGGCGTAAAAAAACCAGTTCATTTCTTCACTTCATCTTCAAGCTCTCCTCCAGTCTAACAGCACCCCCTAACACTCTTTTCCATGCCTTTATAATGGCGGTCAAGACCTAACCCTTCGTAACCCTTGGGCAGAGCTCGAGCATATGACAACAAACAACCAAAACAAAGCTCCATTTTTAAATCGTTGGTAAAATTCACCTTGTGGAGAACTGGGTTTTACTTGCATTGGCCAGTTTCCTGAAGCCTCTCTTAGAAGTGGGTACAAGTCGCCTCGAGAACCCTTATCACTTGCATGTTACAAAGCTGGCAAAAAGCTCTAAAGCTTTTCTTGCACGTCTCACGTGTACCGCCTAAGGATTCCAACCCTCGACCTCTTCGTTTGACTCCTCACCAGATCTCCCACAGTATCAGGCAGCATCATCAACTCGTTTAAGAGAACTACTCAAAGAACTCTTTTTAATTTAACTTGCAGATAAAACCCAAATTTCTAACTACGATGACTGTCAATTTCTAAATGACTTTTTTGCCACTGCATCTGGTTTCTCAGATCAGTCCTGACATTTTCGAGATCTACTTGTACTTCGTTCAATGCAACTTCATCTGTTGTATCGGCTGTTGGCACATCGAGTAGTCATATCCCTTGGACTTTCGGTCTCCATT